CCATGGCCTCAGAGATCACTAGCAAGAGAACCCCCAAAAGATCTATGAAAGGTACAAAACAGCTTTTCAGTAGGATTGAATTGCATGCATGCCTATATATGTTCAGATTGTAAACCCAAGGGCAGTCTTTTTTTTAAAAAAAAAAAAAAGATGCAGTCTGATGCTAGATAAATAAAAATAAGTGCAATCTGCAGCACTACTTGATTTGGTTATACATTCTTGCCACTAACAGGAGTCTTCCTTTCCAAACTTCTAGCCATACCTACTCCAGTTTTGTGGCACTTCTTTCTCTACATGACATTTTAATGCATAGTTCCTGGGCATATTTAATCTTTTGAGTGATTTGGGAATTGTGATATCCTTTGGTGTTTTTAGAAAATTGCTTTTGATGTTTCTCAAGTCTCTGGATTAATGAGAGCTTGCAGATAACTTTTCTGTTTCTTGGCAGCTCCATCTTGGCTTTAGTTATTTTAGAATTCATCACCAGAGTTTGCTGTTAGGGCGGCTAATCTGTGGCACCCCTTGGTTTGTTCCTTTAAAGTTAGTGATGACAATTATGCAAGAATTCCGAGTTAGGAAACAGTGGTCAACCAGGTTCTGGCTATAATCTTTTCTTTTAAAAAAAATTGCTTTTTTAAAAAAATATTTCTGAATGCATGTTTTGTGCTTCAAACTAGTGGTGATCAAAATCTGTGTTTTGGGGAACAGTTTTATTCTCCAGTATTCTGGGACCTCAGTATATTTTGCCAAACAATAGGCAGTCATTTAGCACATGGGCTGCATGATAAAGTTGGCATTATCTAGCAATAAGAGTCTCATTTGCATGACACATTTATGTGTGATATAAAAATCTCAGGCCTGGAATATTTAAAAATTCTGTTTGGAATTTTTTTTTCTTCCTTACCAATGAAGTTGTTGGCCAACATTTTACCCCTTTGTAAATAAGGGCAAGTTATCATTGGCTTGGACTTTGATATTCAGTTTCCAAAGGCTATCAGTAAGCCAGTTCTGTTGTTAAACCTTCTAGCAATACATTAAAGCTTTATTCTTTTAGGACGTAAATCAGAAGAAGAAGGGGGTGAGGACAATGGATTGGAAGAGAATTCAAGAGATGGACAGGTATGGAGAAAAAGAAAAATGCAATGTTTCTTTTAAAGTTTTATTTCAAGTACAGTAATGATAAGTTTACCTTTTTCTTTTCATTCTGCTTCAACTATAGGAGGATATTGAAGCAAGCTCAGATAACTTGCAGGATATTGACATGATGGACATTAGTGTGTTGGATGAAGCTGAAATAGATAACAGCAGCGCTGTGGACTGTGGAGATGACTACCGGTCTGAAAACATTCTGGACTCTGACAAAGACAATATTGATGTGGAAATGAAAGAACTTCCAGAGCAGCTGATGGAAAGTGAGGTAGATAATCAGGGGCATATTTAATTATTTATATCATGCTGGAGATGTGCCTGCAAAGATTAAGGCTGGCTAGTCGAAACCAGTGTGTGAAATTCAGTTCCCCATATTTCAGCCTGGGCATTGCTATTCAGCTGGATTTTAGAGATAATGTAAATAAATCCGTCCTGAAGATTAGCTGTATACTCCCAGTTTCACTCTTCAGTCCCAGCTCAATGTTCTATTTCTGATGCCTTCCCTCAGCAGTTGGAATGTTCACAGGACTCCTCTGACATTACACAGGCTGAGCAGTCACTGGGGAACAACACTTGGTACTAGCTAACTGTGTCAATGAAATGTGTTATTTCTTCAGTGAGTTGCTGTTTTGAGTAAACATTTATAGTAAACTAGCATTCATATCCTTGTGATAGGTTTTGCCTCTATAGGAAGAAAGATTATCAGCTTTTGAAAGGCATATTTGTGTTTTCTATTTATTCCCTCAGGAGAATGGTGAAGAACTTGATGACCAGCTAGATGCTGCTTCACCTGACTTGGCTGAAGTGAAGGTAACCAACTGGAACTCCTCTCATGGGCTTGGGAGATGGGCTACAACCATTCAGCCAGCAACTTTTTTTTTAATGGTTCAAGTTAACTTGTTTTCTGGCCTTGCCTCCCAAGCCAAGCCAAAAATTCTTTAGCCTCTCTCTCTCCCAGAACAAAGAGCAGTTGCGTTGGGTGTCTCTGATCAGTGGGGCACAGTAATCTGTCATACAGTTTGCAGTTGACAAGTATGGGGTGGTTTTGCTTTCCTTGCCCACTGTTTCTCCTTTTTGAGGAGTTGTGCTGCTGGAATTCTATTTTACGGGGTCCAGACAGACAAGTACACTAACGCTCCTTCACACAGTTCAGATTTCAACCCTACTGGTTATGGAAATAGGTTTTAATACCATGAAACTGGAATTTTGGGGGCTGAGGAGACAGTTAATCTATTCATAAAAAACTCCCTGAACCCGCAGCTGCTTCTTTGGGCCAGATAGGTAAAAGAGCTTTCTTATGGCAGACATTTGCAGAATTTCATTTTCAATAAATCATTATGCCATTTTTGTGACTTCTTAAATTTTTGGACTGGGTTTTGTCTTATAGGGACACCATCTTTTTTCTGTGACTACTTTAATCTTGATCACAGTCTGTTTTTTTCACAAAAAGGTTGGGTATTAATAACAGTCATAAGAAAGACTGCACCTCAAGTTCTGTCTTGCTGTTCACACTGGCAGAAATGGATTTAAAAGCCCTTTGCTTTTCTAGAAGCTTGGGAGCCTGTGGCTGGGAAGCATCATATTTGGAAAAGAAGCACTTGTGATCAGGTGCTGTTCTGGGAACTAAATGAGCTGGTTTTAGCCCTTGAGATTTAGGTTCCTTATATGTATGGCATTGTTGACGCACTGTAACCTATCTGTTCCTTTTAAAAATAACATCAGGAACTTAGCCTATTTTTAAGAGTCCTAAATGGTTTAGTTTTGGAAATATCGTTGCTGGGTGCAAGGAGATGGATCGTATTGTAATAAAAGATGCTTCAATTAGCTGTGGCAGGTTTTTTTTAAGGAATCCAGGAGTTGAAAGTGGCCATTTAGGTCACGAGTCCAAGCTTCTACTCATTGCAGAAATCTAAATTAAACATCCTCAGTAAATGGCTGGCCAGCCTCTGTTTGAACACATTGAGTAAATGGTAGCCTACCACTCTTTGAATAACTGATTCTACTGTCAAAGTGCTCTTGTTAGATTTTTTTTTTCCTAATATTCATACAGAATCAGTCTTCCTGTAGCTAAAATCCATTACCCCATGTATTGCACTGTTTGGAGTGATAAAGAGCACTTCTTGGTTTCTTCTGTTCAGCATCCTTTCAGGTGTTTGCGTACTACATTTCCCTGTTCGGTCTTTTCAGTGCTAAAGATGTCTTTCTATTGGACTTAGTTCCTAGATCCCTGATTATTGCTATCCTTTGAACCTATTCCAGTTTCCCCTAATCCTGCTTAAAGTAAGGTGCATAGTACTCACATTGGAGTCTGCCCAGGTGGAATTAAGTGAAGCTTTCTTTCTGTGATTTGGAAACTATTGTTTTGATGCAGCCTACAATTGATTTTTTTTTTTTTTTAGTCACATCACTGTTAGCTGATGCTCAGATTGCGAGCTTATCATTCCATGATCTTTCTTAGTATTATTTATTATTATTATTATTATTATTATTATTATTATTATCCAGTCAGGTATCCACATTCTGTATTGTATGCATTAGATATTGGTTTGAGAGTTGAGCACCAGGTGGGGACCAAAGGTGAATGGGCAGCCCTAGAAAGGGCACGGCAGGCCCCTCCACTGGAAGTGGTACCCCTCTCTGGACACCCCATATATCTGTAACACGTACAGTAGCCACACCCTGGTAAACCATCTCAGCAGACAGGCCAAAACAGGTGAGGGTAGCTGATGGATCTTTGACTCTCGGTGAGATGGAGGATTTGTCTATACCAGCATGTGAAATCTAGCCCTGGCAGATTGAGTGGAAGAGATTGATCAACGGTCCAACAGTTAAGAAGGCAGGGCCAGCAGGCGTTGTGGAGGACTAAGAGCACAACAGACATCCTGGTCATCCACTGCAGCAGGAGAGGTCTCCAGTCATAACAGTTCTCCATGTCACTGGATTAAGGTCTCTTATGGTGAGAGAGTAGAACTGCCCCTGTGCAATGGCTGTTCCACTTAAAATTCCATCATACACACGTTTCTGTTGTGCAATTTATCTTCATCTACAACTCATCTGCAAATCATCTCAGTCCAAACTTAATTTGTTGAGCCCTGCGGCA